TCTGTTTATTAGCTGTATGGCATAAAGTTCAGTTGGCAAACGGACTTGGGCATAGATATTTTTTTTCAATTTTATAGCAACATGATTACTAAAAACAAGTGCCAAAAAAAAGTTATAATTTGACTTAACAAAACAACTTAAGAAAAATCAATCCAAGTATTTCAAAAAGTTTTTAAATGTATGATTTTAAATATTTTATAAGACAATTCGACATCTAAAATGTATGGCACTTATTTGCAAAAAAATGCTCTCAATATTGTATCTTAAATAGTGATGAATAAAAAAAACTTATTTAAATCTTTGGTTTTAGGCTTTAACTTTTTTGTCTCTCACGCCCCTAGATCTTCACCCAGCAATTGAAAAAGCTTTTCTCGATCTAATTGTACTGTAAATAGTAAAAAAAATCTTCTGTGAGCTAGAGTGGGATTCTGAAACAAGCGGAATATTGGTCGTGGGATGAAATCTTCTATTTTCCATACCTGCTCGTTTGTTTTTTTACATTCATTCACTATTATTTTTATCAATTTCCTATATTCAGTCAATATTACAGGTACTTTGAAAAAAAAATCAACGAAATACATTAGCTCTTGCTCTATAAAGTTCCGTAAATCATTCACGGAAGCTTTTAAATAAACATTTTGGTATGACAGGTGTCCTGTGAATAAACTGATTAATTTTTATTTTTACAGATAAGTTGATACCATAGCAGCTAACAGATAATTACAATTAAAATCAAACAAATAATGTAATATGTAATTTTATTTTCCTGGAAAATCAGATACTTCAAACAATATACACTTCGACTCAAATCGGTGCATTTTCCAGCTCATTATTTTCATTGATGTGCCAGCAGCGTAACTAGTTTACGTTGTGAAGCGTGCAATATAAATTAGGATAGAGCTAATCCAATGAAAGATAAAAAGCCGACCGCGTTTTGCTACTGCATTGTACAGCGACTCAGAATAAATTTAAATGTAAATAAAAGTAGCTAATTTATTTACCCATCCATGGGAGATATAAATATATGGAGAATAATGAAACAAAAGCGAGCAATCGACACTTTGCCGGGCTTATAGCTGCGGAACTCGAAAACTTTCGTCCCTCCATTCTTTTAGCCCCTTTAAGCGTGGAAACTCTTCTAAACCTACAATATTCTTTTTCGCCCAAGGAAAACTTTTACTGTTGATGAAAAAGTAAAAATATAAAAAATGAAAAGTATGCACCTGTGACCAAAAAACAAGGTGCGCTACGGTAAGTATAGAACCAGCAGAAAACTCCCCTTTCAGCCATCATATGCACGTCTCGATGTCAGTCCACGCATGTTGTCCTCAGAGACAAACCTATGCACTTTCTCGTTCCAAACTGGCTCTTGTCGATTGTATCACTACAACCTTTGCTTGATCATGTTAGCCCTGTTCTGCTATCAGAAAGTGATGACTGAAAAAAAGGAAGGTATGTGCGGAATTGGAGAATCGATTGCGTTACTGGATTTCTCTCGACGGTTCGAATTTTATTCTATCTTTGCTCGTTTCTATGACTTTTTTTACCCTTTTACTCTTTTTCTTGGTTCCGATTGTGCCAACTTCGGTCACGCAGTTTTGTGAAAAAAATGTGCTTGAAGATTATTAGAAGTATCGGGTAGTACATTTATCATCGAAAACACGGAGCCTGTAGATTTCGAAGGCTGATCGCATCTTGACTTGTACTACTTACAATTAGTGTTGCTGCAAACGAACACGAACTCGATTTTATTTATCGAATTTCGGAAAGATTTTAATAATTATAATCGAACATGTGTATGTATATTTTTGTACGATAAACTTTGGCACTTTTTATAATACTGTTACGTGATATGTTTAAAAAATGGAGCAAGGAAGTAAACACGAAAATATTCTCAACTCTGACGTTTCTTGAGGTACCAATGCATTTGTATACGCAAAAAAGGAAAACATATTTCGTGTCCGTATCCATACACTCTCTATGAGGAAAAGATCACAAGACTTCAAAAGTGAGCAATGCTTACGTGAGCTCCTCCTCTCCCTCTTACTCTAACTCTCTCTAAAGCAGTATAAGAAGAATTCTTTTCTTCTCTTCCTTTGAGACTCTTTAAAGTATACAAACGTGGATCGTGACTCCCAGGAATTCAGACTTAGACAAAAGACTCGACTTTTTCTTCGTTTACCACTTTTTCTCTCAGTAATTTGGTATATTTGGCATATTTCGTGCAGTCCATTTATTTCATTTACTTGTACTACTACAGCAACTACGTCCAAAAGCGCCATACTATCGACTTCCACTTGACTTAATTAGTAGAAAGGGAGATAATATTAGAGATTACAAGCTGTTTGCTGGAGGTAAAGATTCTCCTGGAAATGTTCTTGGAGTGATAAGAACGCCAATTAAGATTAGCTCATAGAATTTATTATCAAACTGATTAAGATGCTTCTTAAGAAAATTTAAGAAGTACAGAGCCAGTCTGTGACACAGAAAAATCTACCCTTCGAACTTTGCACTTTTCCTCGGCACGTACGAATAATATATACAGCTGCGAAGACACGAAAGTTTTGCATGAAATTCCCCCTTCGTTCACCACAAGAATGATGAACTCAGAGAGTGTGAAACTCGATACGCTCGAGAGAAGAAGTTTTTTCCACAAAAAAAGCCCGATAATTTACGGCGAAAGTTCGAAAGCCTTGATTCTCGGCTGTGGTTGAAACAATCGTCCAAAATTCGTGGGAAATCATATTTTCAAAAGAGATAATATTTAATCCACTCGTGTTTTTTAGAAAATTGCTTTGGCCCCTTGGTTTTATTACAATAAATTTTTACGTCCACATACTTCTTTTATTGTTTAATAAAAATGTGTGCAATGCAAAACCCATTTGGAAAAGTTCGAAAATCCATTTATCTTTTCTTTTCCAAATGAAAAAAGCAATGACCTGTTGGTGCCACGCCTCAATTAACTCTATCGTCCCACAGAAAGGAAAACAAAGAGCTCCGCTGGTGTCTATTGTTTCCTTTACTCGCGAGAGCCCCGAGAGTTATATCCTCCGCGTCCAGCTCTTGAATAATTCAGCCTCTACCACTTAGTCTATAATCTATGTATCTTTTTAGTGGTTTCTCAACTTTTTCACATTAAATCACCGTTTTTAAAGAGTGAAAAATTCCAAGAAGACTGGTATTTGTTATACAGACATTAATATTACACTAGAAAGATCGCCACTTCGACGAGCTGAAAGTGAGTCGTGTTGTAGTCGTCACGCACAGTTAGAGCGACATACTGACAACGGCAGCTCCTCTTAGCCTCCTTTTTCTTGTTGTTTAAGTTTCGCTTGTAACAAAAGTAAGTTCAAATGCTGCTGTTCGTACAGTGATGCTCTTAATTAAACCTGCGTTTGCACTGTCACCTTTAACTTGAATTATATTTTTATGTTTTCTTTTACTCCTCAATAGATTTTAATAAATCAGTGCACCTATGATGAATTGATGACAGCGGTATTCATTATTATTGCTATTATTGTTATTTTTACTTATACGAGGACAAATTTTAGTTGGTTCTCGATTGTGAAACCACTTAATGGCAGGATAAAAAAAATTTTTATTCCGTACATTAGAACTTGGAAGCATGAAATCTTTCACTCTCCAGCGTACCAAGTTTTGTATTATTATTTCTGACAAAGTCCTTCTTAGCTCAGAGTAAAAGCTTTTTAAAATAAATTTTGTGCACTTAGCCCATCTGAGTTTTATCGTTCATGTACTGACAGTTTTATTTTACCTTAAATGCCTACTGTGCCGAAGTTTTGGGTATTATTGTAACGTTTAAATAAACAAATCTTTTACCAACACCTAATTGAAGTTCTTACTTGTAAATTTTCACGTACATACATTACACAAATTTTGTACTGTTGCATCTTCAGTTTAGTATTTTTATGAGTGCATGAGTTAATTAGAAAAATTATGTATTTAGCTACTTGAAAAATCAGTTTATAGCACTCATTTGTACGCATTTTTTATGAATTTGGGAAATGAACTGCTGTTACTGCAATAGCCAATTGGCGCTTAAACTGAGATTAAAGCTTCGGGTTGATTGGGACGACAGTTAGTATACAGTAGCTATACGAAAGTTTGCAGTTGTTGATTGCGTATCCGCAATCCCAGTAAATTTAAAAAGCTTCCATTTGTGGTGCCATCAATCGTGTGTAAATTGAAAAATCAAGCTAGTCGCGTTGTATGCAATCAAAAAAATTGTAGAAATAAAAAGTAAAAGTTATTCTATTAGGACTTATTAATTTGATATCGACCACTCACTTGTGAGTTGTAAGTTGATTTGTTTGTTTTTACAACAGGACTAAAAACCGTTTTTTAGCTGTTTTCGTTCATCATTTTTTCATTATGAAGCAAAAATATGAAATAAAAACACTCTTGAAGACCAGTCGTACTGAAAAATAAAAAATAAAATTTCTCATAACCTGTGATTTGAAACAAGCAAGCTAGACTTGAACACCAGAAAAAATGCTACAAGAGACGTCGAAAAATTCTTCCCACAAGAGATTCTCGTACCTTACCGGCACAAGCAAAAGTCGATGACACCGGCACATACATAAAAGTATTGTATGTACAGGAGCACATTGGACCAGCCAGACGCTTTTCTCTCGTGTCCTGGTACACACACGCGCCGCAGGTCCCACGTATACTATGGAAGCTGAAAAAATATGTGTATACAGTGGAGGTACTGTGGGCAGGATCGAGCCGGGAGTGGAGGAGATGCGCAAGCTCGGCTGGATGGTGTATACCTACGGGAGTCTCAGAGCGCGTCCTGCCGCGAGGCTGTGCGCATCAGCCACCGATGGTGTGGACATACGATAAATTCGAATGTTTTCATTATGTGGTGTTTTTATTTTCCCCCCAAAAGACTTAATACACGTGCCTACGATGGCACAATTTAGAGTTAACTGCATTGTTTTTTTTTGTGGGTGAACATTGGGTGAAAAGAAAAACAACGTGTTTGGAGGAGTACTATACGTTCCTCGTATAAGTGTATGAGCGAGACGTAGTGGTGGAAGGGAGGGACATGTCGTCGTTCCTCAGGAGCCTCTGGAGGAGCAACTCCAAGCACAAGAGTAAGATTTTTTTTTTCACGTGTAATTAATTGTTACGATTACTTGTGCACTTATCGTATATTCCGTGCCACTAAATTGTATGTTTTTTACCAACTCTCTTTTTTACTGTTTACCCTCAAACAAATTTTACTGTTAAATTACAAAGAATTCACACAACCGCGCTCAAACGACTCTATGAAAAAGGACACGAACCTCAGCGCAACAGCTACTCTTCTACATTCGATCGGTTTGTCAATTCAATTGCGGCCGTAGCTCAAATCACAGTTTTTCACGCCTCGTCGAATTTGTGGAAAATGTTTTTTCCAATCCTGTCATCATTACTTACACTTGCAATCAGCGATATCTATACCCTGCCAGTGACAACTGAGAATTCGAACTGATGAATTTTTGATTCACCGTATTAATTGGAAAATGTTACAATTACCCTTTTGACACAAAAATAAAAATAGGATTATCGATACGGCGATTTTTAATGAAAGTAAACACTTGAAATGAGTCGAAAATGTAGCTCGTAAGCGCGAAAACCGTGGTAACAATAATGATCGATTGAAAAGCACAGTTATAGACAGAGAAGGGTACATACGTTATTGTATTTTAAAATAAATAATGAGCAAGTGAGCTCAAACAGAAAGACAAGCAAATAGGTGCAGAGACAAAGGGCCTCTGTGGTTCCAAGGTACAAACTCCGAGATGAAACATAAGGGATACGTGTGTATAAATTACGTTTATGTATAGTCTAGAATGGAACACATGGATGTATTATGTCTTTCGTCACCTCCATCCTTCAAGCCTTGGATTCGTGTATCCCAAGCACGTGCGATAATATCTGGTGGCAGGAGCAGAGCTGGAGAATATGGTGAGAAATATGAACGTAGATCCAGGTACACAATACGCTGTGCCAAATAGTTGCAGTTTTACAAAATGTGCGCACCAACATATTTGTCCGGGGCCAGGACTGGGAAAAACGAAGGAAAAAAATCACCAAATTCTTAAGGTCTATTTGCAGTACAACAATTGATCTGTTATTAAATAGCAGATGTTCAAGGTAAGAACTGTAAGGGTGATGAAGGATTAATTTTTTTCGTATAGTTCTGTGTATTTATTTATTGTCTGCTGAAGTATTGGAGTACGAAAAACAGCACCAGACAAAGCGTAGAATAGTGCTTGTAACGCTCAAGGTAAAAGACTTTTTCGAAAAAATTTTTATACTCAATTGAATACGAGACCTCAGTTGGCACCGGGAAATTCAGCAAACAATGGACAAGGATACTTGTGGGAAAGAAAAGTTTATGAAACAAAATTGTTTGTATAGGAAATCGAGAATTTACGCTTGAAATTTAAAGAGATGATGATACAGTGTTAATGATAAAAATTTCTGTGCGTAAAAAATTATCGATTTATTGATTTCACCGAGATATAGAGAAAGAGAAAGGCGGTAAGAAATGGACAGAGGAAGCAAGGGGATCCAAAGATACATGGTAGCAAAGAAGAGGTAGAATGTGTTCGTGTATCATGGATATGTATAACATCTATGGACACATGAGGGTGGGGATTTCACGGCTCTTTTGTACTGTATGAAGACAAAGGGAAGCTAAAAAGGTGAAATTCACTGATATTGCTACCAAGTTCCGAGCGATTTGCCAATATCTACTTGCTTCATTATTTCGTATAAGCATGTGCATCATATTTGTTTAATGCCTTAGCACGTACATTATTTTTACTTTCTACCCTTACACCCACCAACATAGAAAACGAGATACTATAGCAAATTTCTCTAATTTCAGGTCTGATTGACCCAATACCCCTTTAATGTATTTCTCTCTCCTTTTTTATATGTGTGTACACACGTATGAGTATTGGAGATGGTTATCGGACTTATCGTCTCAGTTCCGAGGGGACGTATAATTTTCCATCGCAAATGAAGCCAATCAGCTGTGAAATTGTGCTGCGAAGTGCAGCGAGCCGGTAAATGGCGCAAAGCAGCCCGAATCGGAAAAAGTTTACCTTTGTTATATCCCAAATTGAAGATACGTATATATGATACTAATAGCGATGAAGCATTTTCGTATTTTGTAAAAATCTCAATTCTATACGTCCTGTGCTCAGTAGTTTTTCTCTGAGCACAGGACGTACATATACTCCTTTTTTTACCCCATTTTTCAGAGCACGAAATAATTTAGAGTAAAAAAAGTATATCCAATAAAACGAGCTCGTTAACGTGCATGGAACTTGAAATTTGGTTTAGTTGCATAATAAAAGTAACTTTTAGATTTAACGTAAAAGTAACATTTAGAATTTAAAAAGCCTGAAATTCGGCGTAGAGCTTTATTTGTACGTAGTGACTTTTGCAAACAAAACGTAAAACGATGTGCTCTTGCCTCAGCGAATGAATTCAATTAAATTAAATCAACAGAAATGGAGACAGTGAGAATCCGCTTTCGCTAAAGTTTTTGACACTCCACCCCTGCTACATTACGTACTCGTGTTAAAATTCACTTGTGTCACGCTGCCAGACTTTACGCACATGCTCCTGCGCAAATTAAAATTATCGCTCCAACTGTTATTTGCGATATGATCCATCACAGAAGGTCATTTTTTATGAAATTCTCGAAATTCTCGCTTTGTATTTTTCAAGGGAGCTTGTAGTATCAGAGATTGTTTCATCAAATTTCTACTAACAACCCCTTCATTGCACCTTGTCAACCTGATTTGTTTTCAATTACGAAGCAGTACGTACTAAAATTCGAAAAAAAAACCATGGATCACGGCATGTCACTGTTAACTTCATTTGCATTACTCCTTAACTTATTTTATGGACAAAGTTAAATGAAGATATGTGCGAGTGTTCACTTGGACGAATGGAAATTAGAATCGCTCGCTAGATTAGATGAACTGTGTGAATATTTAGCCGGGAACTTCGAGTAAGTAAGTTTGGTAGAGAATGAGGTTGGCCGGAGTGCGCAATCACCATCAACTCGCCATCTTACTTGATGGTATTTGGGTGGAAATTTTCACCAAGCAAGTAAATTCTAAGCTGGAAAAGGACAAGGACTTTACAACATCCTGCTGGCTGTAGTCTACAAATAGACCTATTCACTGAAACAACAAACTGAAATGCTTTTTCAATGAAATCGGCACACGATATACGTAAAGCTGACAGAGTTTATGACTGTATATTAACAAAACTTATGCATCTCTTTACATTATACGTGAAAACAGCACTCAATTCATAGTGTAATATCTAAATAAGCACAAACGACCTGTTGGAAAGAAAAGACGCGAGTCTTTGCGTTTCAAATTTATACAGTGATTACTTGGCTTTCTGTGCACTGCAAACCGAACCTTGGGTGTGAAGAATCACGTTTTAGTCAATTGGTGTAACTTTTCGTTTGCGTAAAAAACTTTTTTAATCCCAAGAAAACTTGCACACTACGACAAGAAGGTAAACGAAGAAGAAAAGAACGAATTTCAGGAATTCGATTTACGGCTGCGGCAACAGCCTGGACCTGAGGGGGAAAATTGTGCTTTGATTATTTGTTCGCTGGCTTGCTTGCTTGCGCTTCATTGGATTTTTCTTTTGTTTGCGTTGAGAAAAAAAAAAAAAAATTTGAATTGTCTTTCACCACAAGTACAACTGCAAGTTGCGGGGTCCTGCTTCTTTTTCCTTCCCTCTGTACTGAAGCACGCCATTACGTGAACATAAAAAAAATTTTTAGTCACAAGAATCTTTAGGCAACAAAGTAATAGTGCGATCGTGCTCTTTCTATTTTTAATTTAAAAACAATAGTATTAATTACATATAACGTTTGTTTGAAGCATCAAAAAATCATACATGAGAATATGTAACCTGGAACAAATGGTTATGCGAGCAAAGTGCATGTGTAAAATTTTCATAAGGGACACTACGTTCCTGCATAACTACTGGCCCCTTCGGGTAACTCAGGGAATCAAGTGGACCGTAAAACTGTTACAGCCACGTTTGTTCCACTATGATCACGGCTACATCTACTTTAATGCAGATTGGTGTTAAAGTGTTTGGCAGCAACAAGAAAATAAATTTTAAAAAACGTGGCCAACCAACTGCAATTCTCAATTTCAACCCCTTTGACGCGCTCAAACGATCTCGATTGATAGTCGTACGTACCTCACATATTTACATAATGTATCAGCGGTAAAGTACACAGAGGCAGCCTCGCTGATGAAAATCCGATAGCTTCTCATTTTCTATCTACCTTTTACGGAATGCCAAAGGGTTATCGTATCCACTGATTAAAGGCCTGATTGCCATAAGGTGGAATAGGTAATATATATAGATACGGTGCGGTATGGCGAGGGCTAATTTTTTTGGTGCATCCAGAGCCAAATGTATCTGGCGTAGGGTGAAACTTATTCTCGGGCCGGACACCAAGTAGTGAAAATTCTTCATTTTTAACCACTGTAGCACGTTTGTTAACATTACGTGTGCCAAGGACGCAAATAAATAATGCTCTTCTGGTGACTTTGCACTTCTGTAGCAATTGCTTTTTCTTCTTCTCGCCACCGAGTGCGGTAGATCTTATGGTGCTCTCGAAAGTTGGGGCAGGCAGTTTTTTAGTGCTTTCCTCCTTGAGATGGAAACTTTTTAACGTGTGAACGCAGTCGATATTCGTACGAGTACCAAAACACGTATTACATATGTGCACGACAAGTACGTATGTCGTACGTCAGATATAATTCAAAAACTTTCCGTACAAAATATTCAAGTCCTCTGAATATTTTTGTAGTGCAGTTTAAAACTTGTACGCAAATATTCGATGACTATGCTCCGTGGGGTGTGACTAATACTACCGTGAATCCATGAATCTCTGATTAACATTTTAGACTGCAGAAGGTAAAAAAAAAGTAGAAACTCGGCGATATTTCATAGAGGGCATAATAAAAGCAGAGGGAAAGAGTACCACTCCAACAAAAAAGCAAATCATTCATCCTCCGTGCAATCGAGCCAACGATTAAACGGGCTGTTGTGATTTAGTACAAGTGAAATCGTCGTGCATAAACGTACATGTATACGTACAATTACGTTGAACTTTTCTAAAAATAACAACCAAATAGAAAAACAAAAAAAATAAACAGCGAACCAAGAGTAGAGGAAATTTGCAACTCGAGCGAACGTGCCTCTCTGAAAAGGGCAATAAATCGTTCCTTTCCTTTTACTCGTACTTTCAATATGCACCACGAGTTTATCCGTTTCACAGTGAAAAAAAAAAATAATAATAGTACTACATACAGTGAGGGAAAAAAAAAAAAAAAAAACATAATATTTAAGTAGTAAGAGTCACATTTGGTTAAACAGTATTAATAGCCAATGGTATAGTCGGTGATAAAATTTAATAGTAAAAGTGGATGCGTTCAGACAGTTTAGGAACTCCAAAAAGAGAACATTTTTTCATGAACCTTCAGTAGTATGTATCCGATTTGGTCAGCCAATTTTACGAAGTAAACGTAAAAGATTATCGTAAATATTCAGTAGTAAAAGTGCGGGCTTTTAAGATTCAGTCAGACATTATTATAAGACAAGTACAGAAGCTCTCGTTAGTATTTAGTGGTACAAATTATATAACATCAGATAGTATTAAAATACTAGTCTTTTAACTTTATCCATCGGTAGAGAAGCTGAAGCGTAGAGATAATAATCAGTATTCAGTAGTAAAAGTACGATTTCGTCAGACAATACTAAAAGACAAGCACATAATAGTCATAAGTATTCAGTAGTACAAGTCAGATTTGATCAGACAACATTGGAAAATAAGTAAAAAAAGGTCACGAGTGTTTAGTAGTTCAAGTCTGATTCGGTCAGACAACGTGAGAAAACAAGCGCAGAGGCTATCATTAGTATTCAGTAGTACAATTTATTCACACACGACCAGACAGTATTTGAAAAACTTGTGTTTAGTTATGTATACTTGTATTATATTAATAATAATTAAAGCACAAAATATACATGTTCTGAAATCAATGAAAGTTTACTGCAAATTCAACTTTTGCGAATGGCGAAAAGCCGAGTGGATGAACTCGTTTAATCTAATTTTCCCGGGATGGTGGTGATATGAAAGGTGCAGTGGCTCTATCACCACACGTCCGCGCTTCAATTAAATAAATTACAATTGCCAAAGTCAACATTTGCGCACGTGTTCCGCGAGACTCAGCTTACTTTGAAGGAAAGCCTTGCACAGCTGGCTGCTGAGAGGCACGTTGGCTTCTGCGTAGGGGGAAAAAAAACAATGTAAGTGTACGCTCGAATAGAAATCCAGGACTCGTTGGGGGTATAGTATACCTACTCTCTCGTCTTCTTTTACTTAAGCAAGAGCGTGGACGGAGTCAAATTTACACTAAAAAAATTATTTTTTCACTTCTGTTACAACTCACGTATAGTCTGAGCCTTCATATGTATATTTATCTGCTATTAGAAACATCGGTGCATACCTATAATCGACAATAATGTTTATCATCTGAAATTAACTATACAAGGTAGATTCAATTAAACAAACTAATCAAACAATCCATCAATTGTCACTGAATGGAAATATTAACGATGAGCGAGTTTACATTTGGGAGGTATGATTTTATCGCTAATTTAATGAAAGGTACTCTTCGTTAGATGGTCGATCATTAGAGACACATGGAGGAAAAGAGAGCGAGTAAAGCAGAGATGTTTTAACACTCGAGAGCGCAAAGAAACAAGGAGTAATGGTCCGGGAGAAATTGATTGGGGTCCGTGAATGTCGTTTTCTTTTCGCCCCATTGGTTGATTGAAAATCGATGTCTCTCACTCAAGAGAGACGGCCAGTACAAAATGAAAGAAAAAACTGTAAGCAGCCCCATTTTTCTTCTACTTCTCATATTTCTCTGCTTTGCACGCATCCCGATTTGTACTAGTTACTTGTTTTTGAGGAATATATGTATACATGCAGCGTATCATATATATCATCAACTATAGAGGATTCAGATATTCCAACCACTTAGGGACACGTATCACAAATCGCTTTCAATTTAAGAGATTTACATGACGTACGATTAATAAATTGTTTTTATTTCCACTATTTTTTTTTTTTTCAATATATTTTTGATTCGTCGGGACTGTTTAAACGAGCTCGTAAAACTACCTACTTTGTCCGATTTATAGAGAACAGCTGATAAAGAAAAAAGTAAAAGAAGTATACAAACCCACATATCCCACGCGTATATCCCCACATATATCAAACCTATACGTATAGCTGTTGAAAGTTGTATGCAATGGCCATTGGGAGTCGAGAAAGTTAGGGAACTGGTGCCACATAGCTGGGAAACACTTTATTGTATCACCCAACTGTGCAGTCAAGTGTGCATGAAACAAATGACAGCTAAACTGAGGTAGAACAGCAACTCAATTATCGTCACTTTAGAGCTATGGCCTTTTCCCGAAAATAACGGTCGTACTAGTCTCTCCAAATACCTTATGATAGTTCAATGAGATGCAATAACTCGGTATTACTCAATGGACAGAGATATTGAAAAGCTCCTCGAAACGAGGAAGAAAGGTAGAGTTCACAATCCATTTTAACTAAAATTTTTTTTTCATCGTAACTATATGCAATTATTCGTAAACTTTTTTATTCAGACGTATCAATCAACTACAGTGACTCGATTGGAAATCATATATACGCACTGTTTTACAGTTTTTTTTTTTTACATAGTGTACTCGGGTCTCCATGCTATAAACGATAGATGAAACCAGTCAATCTTTGTTTGTAGCGTTGTAAATTCCTTTTTCGGTCGATGCCTCTTGAATTGTAATAGTAGTAGTTGGATTATGTAGCGGAGTAGATTTTATGAGATTTAGGTTGTTTTAGTGGAATAAGAGGTATACCTGAAAAATGACGATACGAGAGTTCTGGTGTACGCATAAGAAGCGAGATTCAACTTTATACTTGCAAAAAAAAGTACTTGCATGTCCAGAAATTTTAAGAGAAAAATATGTAGAGGAGAGCGAGAAAAAAGGAATTTCGTCTCTCGAGAAGCGTTGAAACATTTTTTACGACCTCAAATACAGTTGTGCAATTCTACGCTACATGGGGAGAGTTAACGAACACCCCATTGAAACAGACGTACTCAAAAAAATGCAGTCTTCCGTGCTTTCCAAGCTCTCGCGAAACATTCCACTCCAAATAACGACAAAAAAAAAAAAAAAAGAAAATGGGAAAAACAACTGCAAATGTAGGCAAGTAGTGTATACCTACTTTTGACTGTTTTTAGGTGGTGAAAAAACAAAGTAAAGTAGAAAAGACGTGCGTTTTACAGGAGAGTTTTTGTTGTCCAGTTGTAGTGTAAGTATGGGGGGAGGTGGTTGTACATGTGGTTGGAAAACGGGAAGAGTTGGCTGAGCTGCAGAGGAGGAGCCAAAATAAGGGAAGCGAATGGATTCCGGTCGCGTACGCTGCGCATCTAACGAGCTAATGTCTCTTCGTTAGAGCAAGAGTGAGGGCGACGGTGACTCCTCGATTGTCTGGCCCACCTTTTTTTCCATCGCTTCAAGTCTCTTTTTCACGTCTTTTCTCTCTGCCCTTATTTTTCCTTTCCTTAAACCGACTGAAATTGATTTGTTTCGAGCCTTGCAATGTGATCACTCCGGGCTGTTTTTTTATTTTTTTTCTAATTTTACTTTGCTGACTTTACTTTAGTCATTTGGACATCTACTGGTTGACAATTTTATCGCACGAACAAGCTTAATCACTGATTTAGCAGCAACTAAAACTAAGTGGGATGACGCAATACAGGTTCATCACGAAAACTAATTACTATACTCTTTATACCAACTTTCACAAGAGAAGGGCGAGAATATAACAGAAAAATGTCGTGTACGTTCACTAAGATCTCCTAATCCCCTTAAAAAAAATATATATAAATGTTTTACAGTCTTTGAGTATCATGAACCATAGCTCCCTTTAAAACCTCAAACGCCTCATACGGCACTACTGACTCTGTCGTTGTTAACGGTACACGATTGTTTGTATTTTCCAGAGCTTTGCGAGGAGTGGGCGCTTGCGAGCAGTTGCGAGTCGGTGGGCCCGAGCACGTCGTCGAGCGCCGAAGTGGTGAGCAGCAGTGCACCAACGAGTGCGAGTACTAGCGCGAGTAGCAGCCGCACAGGACCCGATGAGCCCGACCTCCTGCCCGAGACGAGCTTCGAGCTCAAGTACTTTGGCTGCACCCCCGTCGAGTCGCCCTCCAGCGAGAAGGAGACGGCCCACGCCATCAAGACCATCGTGTGCACGGTATGGGCTGCACGTGTTTTCTATCTTCTGTGTGACTATGTATGGGTGATCCGCGCCTGCATGGGAATATGCTTTATGATTATATTATACAAATTACTACATGCAATACGTGCCAATGAAGCACGCATTCCTTACTAATTGCTATACGTATAATCCCACAACAGTAGAAAAACTAAACTCACCATTTGGCACAAATGTCTTGTTAAAACTACACAAGTCTTATTTACTTCAGCCTCATGCTAACTTTCGTCATACACTAACTTTGTGCATTTATTAATATTATTTAAAGTAAGATGATATTGAGACCCTAAAATTCATATAATTTTTTACTTTAGTTTTTTTACTTCACGAAATTACACAACAATTATAACTTTGTGGTATATGAGATATATGTATACATACAATAAGGATAAAAGGTAGGAGGTTCAGCAACAGCTAAGAAAAATTTCGTATGTAGTGCAGAATAGAGTCAAGTACTACATTACAGCGAAGAAGATGAATGTTCATGTGCCTAGCATTTTTGAAAAAATCCATACAACAAGCTCGTAAATCTGGTGTTATATACATGAAAAAAGTGGTGATAGATACAAGGCTCAAGCTAAACCTCGTACAATACGGATGTGGATACCGACCCTACACGCGATACAAAGGGGTATTATATATATACGTACACATGTATATACTATGTGCATTGGAACGATTCGCGCATCCGACCGAGCTATAGGTATAAGCGTCTGACGTGAAAAGTCTTTTACTACTGTTCTGCACTGGTGTACCTGTACCCTATAGCTATGCCCGCCGGTGTTTGTATATTGACGCGTGAGCTGTTCTTATCGTATATCGCATTCGTTGTGCAGCTCAGCGTTTGTATAACACGTCAAACTTTTGGAACATCCAAGTTCATATTTGGAAATAACAAAAATGAAAGTGTATTAACAGTTTTCGGAGTACAACTTTTAACAAAATTATTAGATTTTCCGCTAATTCAACATTATTACGCGAAAAGATGGAAAGGAGACATAACTCTCTTTCGTGACAAATGAAATTTAAAAAATGTATATGTACTTACACGGTAAACAACACGGGCGTTGATTGAGGAGCAATTGGGAAACGATCGATTTAAGGTTTTTATCATTTTAGCCTCACCAAAAGGCCGTTATAAAAGTATCTCGCAAATCAATTAATAATCGAGTGATAGAAGCTCGAGAATATACATACACACAGACACACATGTAAGCATATAATTACATTCACAAGCACAAACAGAGACACATTTTCGTTTGCAAACAAATACTTGAGTTCACGGCTTGGTTGTACGGTATAACTTTGGTTATACGTTTTATGGCTACCGTTACTTTACGCGCATCGTCGGTGCACCCTCTCCCCGAACCAATCCAACCAACCCCTGCCATCCACGTGTAGGTACATACATACACGTTATTAGCGCAGTGGTGCGTAAAACTGGCTATAAATAAAAATAAACTTTATTGTAAGGATACACCACTTGCGTGTAAGCGGTATCACCACCATATTCCTAACAAAATAAGGGCAGTTTCGAGGGTGTGCCTCAGAAAAAAAAATTTTTTTCTTTAAATACGGGACGAATTTGAGATATTTTTTGTGGATTTACACGTCAATACGTATACGAACTGATGGAGCATGCACAATAAACGAAGTTCAAAGTGAGTTGTTTTCATTGAAGTGTGTACGTACAACCAAGAGTTTTTTTAATTCTAGATTTGCATGACAGAGAGCTTTTATTTACATTACAAATACGGTGTACTGTGGATATTCTATGCTGTTTGACCGAATGAAAACAACGCGAACTCGTTGGGAGCTTCCGTCCACTTGATTGAAACAATTTTCTGTGTTTCTTTGTTTTGAAAAATTCTATTTCATCTGTTTTTCATTCATCGTCCTGTACATTCATCACAGAATTTTTTTTTTTTTTTTTTCAATATTAATACTCGTAAAACAATGATGACGGTAAACTACATAAATAAAATATTTTTTGTTGCTGAAAAGGGCCATTAATCATTACGGTACACATACGCACGATCTTCCATGGTACTCTTAATAAATGGAAAGCACACATGCTCGGCCATGCGGAGGAAAAAAATGTGCACAAGATACATGCACTGTGGAACTGGAACTTTTTATCAATTTTTCCTGCACAGCGTTTGCTCACGTTCTTCTTTTGTGGGATGTATGGCTGAGTAAGAAACAAATAATATGAGAGATCTAAAATTCAACGTGACTGGCAAATATAATGTGTAAATGTAACGGCACAGCTATTTACTAAAGGAAGCAATCCTGAGGGGGGTTTTTGTGCTCTTCTTTATTTTTATTGTTAAATTAATTTATAAATTTACTTATTTTTAGGTTGCTCAGTAATATTTCAGATGATCTTAAAAATTTTCTTTTGCAACAATTTTCAATGCATAATTAAAAGAGAAACTGTAATGCGACAAGACACATACTCTCCGTATCGCAAATATATCCTTTTATTCTCTATGGTATTCTCAATATTCATTTAATCTCGTCCTACGTTCTCTCGCAGCCTCCCCATTTTCGAGAGAAGTATCGAAGACTTGCATTGCGTGAGTCGATATGTGCTGTTACTCTAACGAAGCCAATGCGCTTTTCTAGTTGATCGTATACGAAGTACTTCTTTTCGGTCCAGCGCATCGGAGAAAAGAACAGAAAATGAGGTGGAAAAAGTCGAGAAAGCACTACTGCTCTGGCAACATATTCTTTTTTTTTTTCTTCTCTTTTCTGGGTGTGGCGCACATACCTTAAAAAAGGCTTGGGTCTAAATGTCTTCCTTCGTCTGCGGTTTCAGGCAAAGGCAAGTGGAAAAAAGCTCCAGAGAGTCTCGTTGGCCGTGAGTTTGCGAGGCATCCGAATGACGGACCTGACCACCGGAGAGGAGCAGCTCCGCATCTGCATATACAGGTACGCTTCTGCACGACAACCTCAATACTCCCCCCCTTAACTTTTTTTCAAAGTAAAAAAAAAAAACGTAATATTTTTAAAAAACGGTGCGCAGCATCTCGTACTGCTCGGCCGACGGGGCCCACGGCAACGTGTTTGGCTTCATAGCGGCGAACCCGGAGGAGATCCTCGAGTGCCACGCCTACCTCTGCCCGAAGCGCAAAGTCGCCCAGACGGTCACTCTGGCCGTGGCCCAGTCGTTCAACGCCGCCTACGAGCTTTGGCAACTGGCGGAGCTGGACACGGGCGCCTGCCACCCCGAGCCCCAAGGCCCACAATTGTCGAATGGGAATGGCCTCGCCGATGAGGATGGACATGACGAACAAGATGAGGGTCACAAAAAAGGTACAGATGCTTGACCAAATTCGATGCAATAGGTAGTACATTTGCAACACGAATGATTTGGAATTAAATTATATCTGTTTTACCTGATTTTGAGATATCTCGTAAGAGTAAATGTTCTAAAAACGAGTAATTTCATTAGTTGAAAAAACACCGTTATATTTAGCTGTTTGTATACGAGTTTTAGTAGTGTACCTATACAACAAATAAAACATATCGGGATAATATTTAATGAAAAGAACATTGGTGGCAAAACTAGTGGCATAAAGGTTACAAAAAAAATGCATATCTTCCTACACGAACACGAGTTTGTTGCGAATAGCGAGAAATAAGAAGCGGAAAAGATGCTATTCTAAAAATGAGGCATGGACATTCCGCATAGAGCGCACAGGTGAGATATAAATCTCTTTTCTTTCGCAGGAGCTGTTTCGGACGAGAAAAGCCCGGAAGAGCGACGCAAGTGCAAAGGCAGCCTTCGCGGGAGGAACAAGAGCTCGAGCCACAAGACAAACGTCGAGTCCAAAGTTGACTCTTCTTTGGTGATTATTCTTACACCCATTATGTTTTTGTTTCGTTTCTCTAATTATTTTTTCCATTTACTTCTGATATTTCGATCAATTGGATGTGTCCGTGTGTGTTTGTCTGCGCAGAAAAATAGAGACTCGACTTTCATTGATGTGGATGGTGTTGGCTTCGTTGACAGTAGCATGACATGTCCCATCACGTTCGATGAAAATCATTTCACCTCAGCGGACAATCAAGTACGTGTAAAATCAAACCCTAACTTATAATTTCAAACAGCTAACGTCAAAATTTCTGATAACCGTATTTAAATCACTGTCGTATCCAGAGAAAGTAGTATTATGCAACTAAAAATTTTGCATTTCTAAAGTGAAGACTATATGTTTATTACACATTCTATGAAAATCAGACATTTTGTCTCTTGAACGATGTTTTAGAAGCAATACTAGTTCCTTTAATTCCACGTTACTAAGACTCTCGAAACATAAAGCGCACCATCCGCCCTTTTATCTCATCGTTGTCCACGTAGTCTTAGTACGTACTCTTTACCATTTGCATTATTTATTAAAAACGCGCATGTGACGTAAGACTCTCTGGAGGATTTATTAATTTCTTTTCTAGTAACAAACCATAATACGGTCTCCCAATAATCTCTGCCCCACAGTAGAGAGAAAATTCATGAAGCTCCATGAATTTCTATTTATTTATCTTACTCGTGAGAACCCCGAGAGTTATCCTTCTCTTCCAGCTCCTGAATAATTCAGCCTCTCCTACTCGGCCAATCTTGTATGTATCTTTCTCGCGATTACTCAACTTTTTCGCGCCACGTATAGTGATTCATAACCAAATCCCTCATGCATATTCAATGAGACGCGTGCATTGTATGTCTTACCTGCACCACCAGCTGCATCTCTTTCAGCTTATCTATGTATAGTCCATGAAATAGACATTGTCATTGCACATCTACCAATCACTGCCTGAAAAACCTGTTGTTTTTAAATATATGAGGTATTAATATTTGCTACGAAGAACCGAATGTAATTACAGCAACAAAAAAATTTTGTGCCGTTGATTGCAGGTATCCTTCGAGGACGAGACGTCCGGGGCGAGAAACGGCATGCCCATGAAGCCCCTAAACAACAAGTCACCGACCCCGAGCCCCTCATTGGCCACCAGCACCACCAGCATCAATGACTCGACATCAACAGCAGCGGAACAGACGCAACTGATCGCGAGCACCTGGACCGAGTCCGAGACGTCCCGGAAACTCGACCTCGTCTGCTCGTCGTAGCGCTTCCGGGACGTGCCGCTCATCACGGGCCTGTGGCAGCAGTTGTCCTCCAACTCGCCCTCCTCTGCTGGCAAAGACCAACACCGACAACTGCCACCTGCGGCAGAGCAGCGGATTTCGTCCGCACCTTGAACCAATGGAAACAGGTAAAAAAATTTCAGCATATCTTCAGTTTATATTAGTTGTTCTTTGGAAATAAGAGAATGGTTGGTAATATTTTACATGACTACGAAAATTTTGAAGGTAAAGGGGTTCAAAATCAGAGTTTCACAGACTTTGAGAACAACCGATCGAAGTATTCGTAATTAAGTAAAAAATCGAATTGAAAAGTAGAAAGGATTGTAAGTGTGATAATTTTATGTAAATACAAGTGAATGAAATTTGTGAAAAATTCACAAAGAAATAAACGTGAATTTACGTGTTTACACCCTCAAACAACAATTTCATGTCATCACAATTGTTATGAATACAAAGTGTTGCAGCCCTCCACATAACTACAGAATCTTTACCTACATAAATGTACGCACATGGCATAGCCTACATTTTAATTTTAATGAAGCACAGGGTCCCTTACATGCCTTTCTCTGCTCGGCTCACCTCTTGTGGGATCAAAGAGCAAAAAGCTCGTGCGCAAATGTGAAATAGTCAAACCGGAGATGATAATTGTGAGGGATGGCTCCTGTAGCGCTCGGGTTGATGTTTGTGCATTAATTTAGGGTTGAAACTTTCGTAGTCCCCGGAATTTCTCCTGCATCCCGAGACCCTGGAATATAATCAAGGTGATGCTTGCATTCGTCCTTGTTATGTGTATGGTAATACAGAAACTTACGAGGCAAGCCGCAAAGTTCATTGTTAACTTTTGCTCGTTATGTACTGGAATACTTTATGAAATCCATTTAATCAAATCACGTGGTGTACGTATATATGCATATGCGCATAATCAAGTATTTCGACTAACTCAAGTAATTACAATGTAAATATATAGTGCTGAGAAGAAAAAAACTGTTCCGTGTATCAAAAAGGTCAAAAACTCGTTTGGTTGCATCTTACGTGTCAACAATACATTTGTGGACAAAATGTTGATTGCAAAAGTTCTAGATGTCCTTTAATAATGTCGTCCTAACACCATGTACGAAAAAACTGTTTTAAAATAGCCGGAAAATCATTCGTTTATGCCTTTTTATAGCTACGAAAACTTTCGTTTGACCAGATTACTGTATGAATTCCTAAAATTCGTTGTGAAGAAACGAAAAAGGTGTTACGAATGATCTTTTCGTGTTCAGTACTTCTATGAAATATAATAAAATGTACAGCCTTGCTCTCATTTACAGTTCCACAGTGTGTGTATTACACGTACATGAGTACACGATCTCTAAAGTGTGAAACAGACCATTAACCGCAAAAAGAAAAAGTGTGGGGTGAATTTATTCCTCTTTGTAATTTTTTTCCCTTTTTTTTTTTTTTGTCTGAAACGGCAAAGAGCTTTTGACCATAAAGGATTACCACTAGCTTCACCGGCTCTTCAGAGTCGTTTTCAAGTTTTCAACTGCTGTACTGTAACTGGCCATAACAGCGAGGAGCTTTGTTCGTTGCCGAAAATGGCCCGAAGGAGAAAAGTTTTATTGTTTGTGAAAATAAGGTGCTCTCTACACTTTGACATTTATTTTTTGGAGTTTAACATCTCTTTTTTTGCAAAATTTTTTAAAATTTTTTATTGAGAGCCACCGTGAAACGACGATTTCTAAGCGAATCGATTGTTAAATAATTTCCATCATTTATTTTAACTGACGGTATAATCACCTGCGTCTATAATTATTTTATTTATTCAAACTGACGCATCCTCAAAAAAAGTAAATTTAGTTGAAAATGAGCCATAAAAGAAAAATAAATAAATACGTTAAATAAGGGATCAACGAAAAAACTTACTGCAATAAATGTATACATATAGTAATGATATATGAGCGCACAGCCACACCCCGAGTTTATTAAATTATCTAGAAAAGATCGAGCAGTCGCACAAAAAAAAAAGATAAATGAGCCACAAATCCACAGAGAGAAATTACGGTACACCAGCGAGCAAGCCTTCGCAGGCCTTTTTTCGCTAATGCAGCTTTTTTTTTTTTTTTTACTGAAAGAAAAAAAAAAAAGTAGACTAATTAAAGAGCAGTGGCATATATACACGTAGACTGACTCTGCTCCGTTTCATACGTATATACACGTACAGACCGAGAGTTTTCTCGCTGGGAAGTTCTGGATAGCAGCCAGCAAGGCAGGGAGCCTGGGTATGGTTAGAAGTGGATATGTCGGACCAAAACTCCGTCAGTATAACGAAGTTTCCCCCAGGCGACCCCCCGACCAATCGAATTTTCTCGGCAATTATGTCCACCCTGGCTCACTATCGCGTATCTACTTGAGTACATGTGCGCTTATCTCGGGAGCAACACGAAAGAACAAAATGTGTATTTCAAAATTTGGTAACTGAGTCAGCTTTGATATCTTTATCATTTGGCGCCTCGCTCGTGTACCCCCCGGTGGATTCCTCCAGGGGTTGGAAGATCTCGAGCCCCGATCGTGAATTATCGCGCTTGGCTCTGCTCTGCTGCTGCGTACAGCCAAGCTGGTAGCGAAAATCAGAGGAAGCCTGGCTCCTCTTCTCGTTACTTTCTTCTACTTCTTCGTTTCTAAATGTGTTCCATGAAGTTTTGCTCTGACATTATTCGGGACCTTATTTTTTTTCCCCAAGTCTCGATTCGGACGTTTTTCGTGTAGCACATTCGTTTTTGTCATTTTTGTTTTTTTAATTATTGAGTTTTACGTTTATTCACCGATACATCGCGAAGCTATGTGATTCGCATGTGGATTACCGAGCAGTTTGTAATAGTCAAAAATTGCATCCTCAAAATATTGAAAAGTATCATTCCTAATAGAGCTCGGACTAAAATTTTTTTTGGCAAAACAAAATCTACCTAGCAATTTGAAAGAACAAATAGTTTTGAAAAAGAAAGAGAGCCCAACATATTTGAAAATTATTCAAATATTTAATTTAAAATACCTTACCATCAATTTTAATATCTTAAATTTACTGCTATAAGAAAAAAAAAACTTTCAGTAACATGACTTTACTTTATCGAGAGAAAAATGGTTTTTGCAAAATGCTTAAAAATCAATGAAATAATTTTACCTGGTCTGCTTGCATCTATAATGTCCTTCCTGTAGATACATATTCTCTCCCATAAAATTGTTATCCAATTAAAATAATAACAACGACAGCAGCAACAATGATTCATTAAAACAAAAATAATGTTAAATTCACATGCTTTCACATAGTTGGTGTACAAAGTCCTTGTGCTTTCGATCAATATACCATGAAAATTTCAACAAAACAAATCAACTGGTATTACCGCATAAGTTCCGGCTATTTCATTCACTCTAATAAAAAGTGGGACCGAAAAGTCCCTCAGTTGATATGATAAAATATAATATAGTACCAGCAGTAATCGTTGTCTGTCACCTGCAACTGCAAGTGCGTGTATATATACAATTCGTCTAACGGTCATTGCGGAAAGTTAAAGTTACAGTTTTGCGGATGCACGGCAGCGTCTCTCGCTTTTTCTTCATTGTTTGACTCCCTGATGGAGAGGTCCCCAATTCCCCAGGATACTGTTTGAAAAAACGCTCACACCCACAGAAACGAGTTTTGGCGCCGCTATCTTGGCTGATCTGAGATTTTTGCACTTCTGCCCTTCGCCTCTTCTCGTATTTATTTATATACTTATTTATTTATTTATAACCAAATGCTTACAAGAGTGCGTTATACAAAAACATGAAGGTAGATTCACTTTGCATGTAAAAATCTACATGTAATATAAAGGTATGTATGTATAATGATTATTATAATAACATTTACTTATGCTTGAATAATAATAGCTTTTGAAACTTTCATTTTTTTAGACGAGTTTTTACTGTTTTGAAATTGAAGCGCGATGTGACTATGATACTTTATTAAGACTACATTTTTCTTTTCCCTCTCGAATACGCAAACTCTTGAATGAACGAAAATTTTCATACGCTAGCGTGCCTAGTTTTACATTATTATTTCTTGTAAAGTGCTTCTTACTTTTTTGCAGAGAAAAGATAGAACGTTTTTTTTTCTACAACTTACACCCGCCCAACTCATCCGAATTTTCGTTCTTGNCGAACTTTGAAATGGAAAAATTTTCATTGGATGAAAAACATTATAAAAGCATCTAAAAAGTGATCCAATTTGGAGCATAGATGCCTACAAGTCAAAGTAAATATAAACGCAGTGGTTCAAGTACGTAGAATTCTCACCTAATTTTGTTATTTTATTTTACTCTCAGTACTCAATCTATGCCGATAGTTTTGCATTTTTTTACTTTCAGCACAGAAATGATGTCGAGAGTTTTTTCTTACTCTCAGTGCAGAAATAATGTTGAGAGTTTTTACCTTTCTTCTTATTTTCAGCACAGAAATGATGCTGAGATTTTTTAATTTTTTTGCTCGGTGCAGAAGTGATGCCGAATTTTCAAACTATACTTTCACTCTTAGCGCAGAAACAATTCTAAGAGACTTTTTTGAAGTGAAGCTTCTTATGAAGCGTTCTGAGGCTGGGAGTGAGCTGGTATAAAGTGATAGATTTAAAACGACTGATATGCTTCCCCCACTATACTCAGTATCGCAATAGCAAGACGTGTGCATACATATATATATAGCTTTTTTTTATATTATAGTGCTCTACGTCCGGCTCCTTTCATAAGGGCACTACTATGGGCACTTAGCACTTTGGAGAAGGAACGGAAGAGGGATGGGAGGCCTCCCATTACGGGAGGGGGTAGGGGGAAATTAGGCAATTTTTGCTGCGAGGAGGTCGCCTAAACCCTCCTCGAGGAGCATTGCGTGGTGAAAAAGCACATGTGAACAATCACAGAGGTACTTGCCCGAAAATGTCGCACTGGCCGGGAATCGAACCACGGTCTCCCGCGTGCCAATCCACGATCTAGCCGACTGAACCACGGCGCGCTCTTATTTTTTATTATTATTATTAGCTTCAAAAACTGCTTGCAAAAAGAGAGCTGTGTTTCTAAGGATCTACATTTTTACAAATATTTTTTTCTTAACAAATAAGATAAAAATAATACTGTAATGTAATAAACACAACATTTTTGTTGTTTACTTTGGCTGATTCAACCAACTGTAGTAAATTTTTCAATTTATATTGTTTGCGTTATGGAAACACTTATACCAGTAGCAAAAGTTAAATCCTTTTTCGTTCTCCATGGTAAAAAAGACTTTTCATTATTTTCCCCTTTCTTCCCAACACGAGCAAAATGGGTCGAATCTTTTGATTTTTCGATGTTCAGCACAAAATCTCAAAGCTTTCTTTCTTTTCTTTTGTTTCCAGTCCCTTTTTTTTATCCTGATTCTTGATCTGTTCGATATTATTCGCGCTGCACTTGTATACGAATAGCTTTACTCACGAACTCTTATGTGTGTATATATGTACGTATGTATGCGCATATATATATAGATCCGTTTGGCAGTAGCAGCTGCTCGGCTTTAAATTCAATTCAAGCGCTCTCGAGTGGGAATTGGCTGGCGAGAAATTCGCAGATCGAAAAGAACAATATTCCGCTTTTGAGGATTTTCGCTCCGAGAGCGTGGCATATATACATTTACCACAACACGAGAAAGGGGTATGAACGCGTCCGTTAATTGAAGCCTTTATATACTAGATTCGGTATAAATACGTTCACGTTTGTTGTTACTGCGGACAAAATATTGTTGTAATTTTATGTGCACGTGTTAGACTTTACTGACATCAACTACTGCGAATAAACCGAAACTTTAATTTTCACCGGGGACCGAAATTTTTTTGGTTCAAACCATGTAAGGAAAAAAGAGGTCAAGTACTATTTCTTGTCTCCTTTTTGTCCTTAGGACCAGAAGATGTGGTAGTTGCACATGGAATACAACAAGATTTTAGCCATGGCGTACAGGTGTGTGTTGTACACAAGCAGGTGTTGGCAGAGAAAGTGGCGAATAGGAAGAGAATGAGCGAAATTTACGACCCAACGAAGCGGCCTGGCACGGAGAAAAGAGCACAGACGATCGAACGCACCCACGAGATATGTTTTGGCTACACGAACTGTGTATCGAGAAATTCTCCTATCCACCCCCTAGCTGCGATGTACACGTATACATGCACTCGTGCGAGGAAGGGATAGTTTGGCTGTACAGACGGGAAATTTTCTCAGTATAGTTTAGGGGAAAAAAAAAATTAGAAAAAAACATAATTTGACAAAAAAAAAGGTTACCGAATATACGCTCTTTGTACTTTATTCCACGTTCGGGATTCACCTTGACATTTATCTACGATAAACACCGATGATAACTACTTAAGGCTCTTGGTTTATAATTATCTCTGTCTTGCCTTATTTTTACAAAAAAAATTTCCTGCATTTATTCCATTTTTTTTTCTTTTTTTTTCTTCTGTGTAACTTACTTTTACATTTGGATTCTGTGCTGCACAAAAAGCTAATTCACGTAAATGAAAAGACACTCGATTACGGTTCGTACGAAAATTAGTTGTTGATTAAATGTTAAATGACTCATTAGCAATCATTTTGCCGCGATAGCCAATCAGCGCTAAACCTGGGGTTGAAGCTCCTGATTAAATGGGACGACAGATCGTACAACAGCAAAGCAAGTCTGCAGTTGATGATTGCGTGTCGGCAATCGTGTGGATTGAAAAATAAATAAATTGCTTTATATTTTTTATAAAAAAAAACAAGAGGACAAAATAATAGTTGAAATAAGACCATATACACGTTTGTTGTTAAGTTGTATCGTTTTAGTTCCCTTTTAAAAGTGTTAGCTAAAAAAGACTTTCAAATATCTATAAAAGTGAACTATAACATGTATAGAGACAGGACTAAAAAAATTATGATACACAATCAGTTTTCAAGTCAAATTCATTTTTCCTTTCTACAAAACAAGAAACGTCATCCTGGTTCTCGTACCTTACGGGCACAAGCAAAAGTCGATGACACCGGCACATACATAAAAGTATTGTATGTACAGGAGCACATTGGACCAGCCAGACGCTTTTCTCTCGTGTCCTGGTACACACACGCGCCGCAGGTCCCACGTATACTATGGAAGCTGAAAAAATATGTGTATACAGTGGAGGTACTGTGGGCAGGATCGAGCCGGGAGTGGAGGAGATGCGCAAGCTCGGCTGGATGGTGTATACCTACGGGAGTCTCAGAGCGCGTCCTGCCGCGAGGCTGTGCGCATCAGCCACCGATGGTGTGGACATACGATAAATTCGAATGTTTTCATTATGTGGTGTTTTTATTTTCCCCCCAAAAGACTTAATACACGTGCCTACGATGGTACAATATAGAGTTAACTGCATTGTTTTTTTTTTGTGGGTGAACATTGGGTGAAAAGAAAAACAACGTGTTTGGAGGAGTACTATACGTCCCTCGTATACGTGTATGAGCGAGACGTAGTGGTGGAAGGGAGGGACATGTCGTCGTTCCTCAGGAGCCTCTGGAGGAGCAACTCCAAGCACAAGAGTAAGATTTTTTTTTTTCACGTATAATTAATTGTTACGATTACTTGTGCACTTATCGTCTATTCCGTGCCACTAAATTGTATGTTTTTTACCAACCCTCTTTTATTAGTTTTCATAGTGCCATCTTCGTGGCACTAAAAAAAAAATTTAGTGCAATTTTAACAGAGTAAAGTTAGTCTTTTTGAAAATAGGCGAAATTTTTTGTATAAAATTCTTTGATTTAACAATTAAAATTGCACCAGTTGAACCTGTAATAAAAAAAATTACGTTGTGAAAATAACGAAAGGAGTGTTTTCTCTGCTTTCGATTTTGAGACATATTTTGAGTAACTGTTGATGCAACTATGAAAACATAATTTTTTTTTATTATCTGAAATCCAAAGCTTTTGATAATTTATTGCAACTGCTTATTTGATCTATCAAATATAACAATTATTACTCGAAATTAATTTGATAAAAAAAAATGTTAAACAATTAAGTGCTCCCAAGAGCCCAGCCACATATAAAGAAAAAACGCTCAAACGTTTGAAATGTTCATAAACGGAAAAAGGAATTACGTAAAAAAAATGACTATCTCGAATCTGAAGGATGTAAAAACAATCATTCGTTCGAGATCGATGAGTAAAAAATTTTTAATTGCCATTTTTACTTCGTTGTTGTCAAATATTTTAAAGTAGCTTCCATGTAACTGACTTGATCCTTAAGTTTTCGCACCGACCGAAATCAAACGAATTATTTTTCCTATCGGTGCTATCCGTTTCTTTATATACCGTACTCCCTTTTTCAAGATGTAAACATTTCATACATGTAAACATGTTTTTACTCACTTCCATGATTTAATTGTCGAAAAATATGCTATTAATATTAAAAAATTATATATAAACGAAATGACAGTACAAATGGAAAAACGAGATGGATAAATACTGAATAAGCAGATAGAGTGGGCGAGTACTGAAATTCTTTATAGACCGTAATTGAGTTTCGCAAAACAAGCGCGATTCTAATATACGCGTGTGCACACAGAGAAGCATGTGCGTATACTTTGACTTTTTTTGCTTGAACTTAATACACATAAAAACTTGCTCAGCACAAGAAAATAAGAAAACAAGAAAGAATATATACATGAATAAACCAAGCCCACTTGAAAAGCGAGTACCAATTTAATTTTGCTGCACATGTGCCAATATTCGTTTTGCACTGTTCCACTTCATCAATATTACAGATACTTACTGGAGATAAATCACTTCGCAACAGCTACCGATTATATCCGATTAATTTGCCAGGTTATTAACATCCGTAGTACAAATCATTTTTTTACGTTTCGTCAGATTTGTAAAAATTTGTGGTTTATCTGCTCTTAATATTTCTTGTAATAAGCATGCAAATTCGCATATTCGGTTAAAAAAAAGCTATGATTAAACGTGTAATCGTGTATATTCATACCTTACACATATACACGTAACTTTTGATTGTATTTTGTTAGAGTTGATCCGACTGCTACGCCACATAGATTCCTACAAGATGAAATGTATTTTATTTGTGGTATGCTAAAAATTTGAAATTCTTAAATCAGTGAAACACTAACTACCACAAGCATTCCTAATGCCTCTAAACGTTTTTGATTCTTTGTAACAGTATACGTTAATGTCTCTAATTGAAATCGCTTGGAACAAAAATACAATAGAATTCCAGAAATACATTTGTTTAAATTTATCAATTCAATACGGATGCTAGGGAGCATACTACTAAAACGCTGCCTATCTCTTCCAGCACAGTTGAAAAAAATTAAATGATAAGCAATGTGTTTTATAAAATTTATGATATATTACACGTTTGAAAAACGGCAGTCGACGCTGTAATGCATCCACTTTCAATTACTGTGACAATAATTCAACTGTACGGGTAAGTTTGTCATAAATTATTTGGAATAAAGTAATTTTAATGATCTTGCTTCAAAACTACTGTTACAATATTTGATTTAGAATAAAATTGATACGTTTATTCTCTTTTACTACTCATCAGAGGTTAATTTAGTTGGATTACGATACAATACCACTTATTCCCACAAATCGTTAAAACGGCGGAAACACAAGGAACTTTACGGGAAATTCTACCGTAAGAAGCACTTGGACAATATAAAACTGTTCTATTTCACAATAAGGAATCTAAAAACAAAAGGTGTGTTGTTGCTTCTACAGTAATTATTTATATTTTAATTATTTACCCGAAAACCTGTGCTTTATTTGACACACTTGATATCATTGGCTTAGAGAAAGAAAAATGTTTATTTGGAACAAAGTGTATTTTAGTTGTTGACGTGGAGGATACACCTGTGTAGAATGGCTCTTTTTTAATTTCAACAAAGCCACGGCTATTGTTGTGATTGAAACAGAAAAAAAAAATTCAAGCCACATATGTTTCTCGATTTCATATTATTTCTTTTGCGTTAAATATTAAGAACATTGTATTAAAAACTCAACTACTGGCCAAAAAACACATTTCTTATTTAATATTGTTTAAATAAAAAACTACCATTCAGAGGCTACAAGAAATTTTACAAATCCTCAAAATGAAAGTTTAATATTTACGGACGCCAAGCACTTATAAAGTAAATCTTTACATTTACATAAACATACTATGCGTGTCTCTAACCCTCCTTGTTATTTTCTCGCGTGAGCTGCACATTTTGTTGGTTAACCGCGAGTAAGTCTTTTTTGACTGAACGACAAAGTGGGTCTTACTACGATTTTCCCACGAAATAAGAAGAAATTACTGAAATTTCTCCTTAAGTTTAACGTAATGAAATTTTGGTTGAGTCCTCCCTTGACAAAGTTTTGAAAATATTATGTTTAATATACTTTCAATCGTTGCACTTCACTTGATCTTTCGTTTTTTCTATATTTTTATCTTCCTTGTTTAACCTACAACAAAAATAACTTGTTGAATACAGTTTTTGAAAGCTCAAACCTCTATTGAACAATAAAAAATATAGATTCAAATCGTGACGTAATTTTATTATTTCTAGTTACAGCCTTCTTTCTAATAAAGTTTGAATCGTTTCTTTTTTCCAACAAATATTGGAAATTGTTTTTTTTAACTATCATACATACCTGTAATAACAAATAAATTCATAAAAATTTTCAAAACATCTACTTTTTGGAAACTTTTTCAAATAATAGTCGTCAACGATTACAAGATTTAATAATTGCCATTTATTTTTTAATCCATATTAACTTACGTACCTATAAACATCCATTAAAGCTTGGAAAAAAATTGATGGTAACTAATTTTTTATGTTGAACAGAAAAATGACTTATCAACTGAACAACCATCGTCATATAACTGCAGCAAGAACATTTCTACAAAAAAATTGTCAACAATTTATTTAAATATAGATATAAAATGTCGCTCACAATTATGGCTGGAGCCAACAGTTATAATTCTTGTGACGCGTGTGGTAAAATCCGTGAGAAAAACAACCCTCTCTACGTACACAAATGTATCCACATCGAAAATGATTTCCACTTCAGTAGAGTGTGTGACACATCTTTTATACGAAAGAGTCATCCAATAGAGCACAAGCAGATTCATATGGAGAATACGCCACACAATTGCTTAGTGTGTTCAAAAAAATTTGCTCAAAAGTCTGCTCTTATGACACACGAGAAGACTCACACAGGGGGAAAGCCCCACGTCTGTCAACTATGTTCAAAAAGTTTCATCCAAAAGTGCTGTCTAACAAAGCATGAGAAGACTCACATTGGGGAGAAGCCCCACACCTTCCAAGTGTGTTTAAAAAGTTTTACTGAGAAATCCACGCTTTTGATGCATGAAAAGACTCACACGAGTGACAAGTCCCACATTTGTCTAGTGTGCTTAAAAAGTTTTGCTTGGAAATCCCATCTTATAAGGCATGCGAAGACTCACACGGGGGAGAAGCCCCACAAGTGCAAACAGTGTTCAAAAAGTTTTGTTTGGAAATCCCATCTTAGGACACACGAGAAGACTCACACAGGCGAAAAGCCCCACGTCTGTCAAGTATGTTCAAAAAGTTTTACTCAGAAATCCAATCTTGTAGTGCATAGACGGACACACACGAATGAGAAGCCCCATGTCTGCCAAGTGAGTTCGGAAAGTTTTAGCCAAAGAAGCCATCTAAGAAAACACGAGATGACTCATATGGAGGAGAAGCTCCACACCTGCCAAGTGTGTTTGAAAAATTTTACTCAGAAATCCACTCTTTTGATGCACGAGAGGACTCACACAGGAGAAAAGCCCCATGTCTGTCAAGTATGTTCAAAAAGTTTTGCTCAGAAATCTAACCTTAAGACACACGTAAAGACTCACACGGGTGAAAGGCCCTACGCATGCCAAGTTTGTTCGCAAAATTTTTCTCAAAAACATCATCTTATGTCGCATCAGAGGACTCACACGGGTAGTAAACCTCACTCCTGCCAAGTGTGTTTTAAAAGTTTTTCTGAAAAATCCAATCTTATATCACACGAGGTAACTCACACGGGGGAAAAGCCCTACAAGTGCAAAGTGTGTTTGCAAAGTTTTGCTGACAAATCCANTTATCTCGGGAGCAACACGAAAGAACAAAATGTGTATTTCAAAATTTGGTAACTGAGTCAGCTTTGATATCTTTATCATTTGGCGCCTCGCTCGTGTACCCCCCGGTGGATTCCTCCAGGGGTTGGAAGATCTCGAGCCCCGATCGTGAATTATCGCGCTTGGCTCTGCTCTGCTGCTGCGTACAGCCAAGCTGGTAGCGAAAATCAGAGGAAGCCTGGCTCCTCTTCTCGTTACTTTCTTCTACTTCTTCGTTTCTAAATGTGTTCCATGAAGTTTTGCTCTGACATTATTCGGGACCTTATTTTTTTTCCCCAAGTCTCGATTCGGACGTTTTTCGTGTAGCACATTCGTTTTTGTCATTTTTGTTTTTTTAATTATTGAGTTTTACGTTTATTCACCGATACATCGCGAAGCTATGTGATTCGCG